GGACAACCGTGTCTTGGGATCGTTGTCCCCAGTCCGCCCGAGACGGGACCCGGACCCGGTGCGCCTAGCACACACGTCGCGCAGGACCGGAGCCTAGGGGCTCGGGAAGCCGGACCCACGCAGCCCGTAGAGGGACACACGTTTCCTGCGATCGAAATAGCGGAGCCGACAGAGGTTCGACCGGGTCCTAGTGCGGCTAGCACACACATCGCCCGGGACCGGAGCGTCGCTGTTCGGGAAGGACGGCCGCCGCTCCGGACAGGACAGAAGCTTTCGTCTCGAAAACAACCAGCCCCGAGCCAGAGGATGACAGCCTCCTGTTTCACGACACGGCTGCTACGCATGCAGCTCGTGGCCGGACCACTGTGTCGTGGGATCTCCTTCCCCGAGCCGCTCAAGACAGAACCCGGAACCTAGTGCGGCTAGCACACAAGTCGCCCAGGACCGAAGCCCAGGGTCCATATCCGGACGCCTGTCGCTCTGGACTGTCTGAATCCCCGGTCCCCGGCACTGTTGTAACTCCGAGCCGCTGAACGACAGCCTCCACTTCTCGACACGGCTGGCAGCCACAGCGCTTGTGGCCGGACAACCGTGTCTTGCGATCACTTTCGTCGAGCCGCCCAAGGCGGGACCCGGACCCCCGGCGCGGCTAGAACACACGTCGCGCAGGCCGGAGCCTAGGGGTTCGGGAAGCCGGACCCACGCAGCCGTAGAGGGACACACGTTTCCTGCGATCGAAATAGCGGAGCCGACAGAGGTTCGACCGGGTCCTAGTGCAGTCTAGCACACACATCGCCCGGGACCGGAGCGTGGCTGTTCGGGAAGGGACTGCCGCCGCTCCCGGACAGGACAGCAGACGCTTTCGTCTCGAAAACAACCAGCCCCCGAGCCAGAGGATGACAGCCTCCCTGTTTCACGACACGGCTGCTACGCATGCAGCTCGTGGCCGGACCACTGTGTCGTGGGATCTCCTTCCCCGAGCCGCTCAAGACAGAACCCGGAACCTAGTGCGGCTAGCACACAAGTCGCCCAGGACCGAAGCCCAGTGGGTCATATCCGGACGCCTGTCGCTCGGGACTGTCTGAATCCCCGGTCCCCGGCACTGTGTAACTCCGAGCCGCTGAACGACAGCTCCACTTCTCGACACGGCTGGCAGCCACAGCGCTTGTGGCCGGGACAACAGTGTTCTTGCGATCACTTTAGTCCAGCCGCAAAAGGCGGGACCCGGACCCCGGCGCGGCTAGAACACACGTCGCCCAGGAAAGGAGCGAGGGTTGCTTCGGGACGGACGGCTGCCGCTCCAGGGACACGGATAGTTGCCGAGAGAACGGGAACACAGCCTCCTTCTTCGCGGCAAGGCTGGCACCCAACCGCTTGTGGCCGGTTACCTGTCTTGCGATCACTTTCGTCGAGCCGCCCAAGGCGGGACCCGGACCCGGCGCGGCTAGAACACACGTCGCGCAGGACCGGAGCCTAGGGTTCGGGAAGCCGGACCCACGCAGCCCGTAGAGGGACACACGTTTCCTGCGATCGAAATAGCGGAGCCGACAGAGGTTCGACCGGGTCCTAGTGCAGCTAGCACACACATCGCCCGGGACCGGAGCGTGGCTGTTCGGGAAGGACGGCCGCCGCTCCGGACAGGACAGAAGCTTTCGTCTCGGGGACAACCAGCCCCGAGCCAAAGGATGACAGCCTCTGTTTCACGACACGGCTGCTACGCATGCAGCTCGTGGCCGGACCACTGTGTCGTGGGATCTCCTTCCCCGATTCGCCCAAGACAGAACCCGGACCCCAGTGCGGCTAGCACACACGTCGCCCAGGATAGGAGCGTGGTTGTTCGGGACGGACGGCTGCCGCTCCGTAGAGGACAGAACGCCATGTCCCCGCGACTGCCAGCCCACGAGCCGGCGGAGGACAGCCACACGCTTCGCGGCAAGGCTGGCAGCCACACCGCTTGTGGCGGGTCACCCGTATCTTGCGATCATTTTAGTCGAGCCGCCCAAGGCGGGACCCGGACCCCGGTGCGGCTAGCACACACGTGCCCAGGACCGAAGCCCAGGGTCCACATCCGGACGCCTGCCGCTCTGGAATGTCTGAATCCCCGGTCCCAGGGACGGCGTAACTCCTAGCCGGTGAACGAAAGCCTGACGCTTCGCGGCAAGTCTGGCTTTCATGCCGCTCGTGGCCGGACAACCGTGTCTTGGGATCGTTGTCCCCAGTCCGCCCGAGACGGGACCCGGACCCGGTGCGCCTAGCACACACGTCGCGCAGGACCGGAGCCTAGGGGCTCGGGAAGCCGGACCCACGCAGCCCGTAGAGGGACACACGTTTCCTGCGATCGAAATAGCGGAGCCGACAGAGGTTCGACCGGGTCCTAGTGCGGCTAGCACACACATCGCCGGGACCGGAGCGTCGCTGTTCGGGAAGGACGGCCGCCGCTCCGGACAGGACAGAAGCTTTCGTCTCGAAAACAACCAGCCCCCGAGCCAGAGGATGACAGCCTCCTGTTTCACGACACGGCTGCTACGCATGCAGCTCGTGGCCGGACCACTGTGTCGTGGGATCTCCTTCCCCGAGCCGCTCAAGACAGAACCCGGAACCTAGTGCGGCTAGCACACAAGTCGCCCAGGACCGAAGCCCAGGGTCCATATCCGGACGCCTGTCGCTCTGGACTGTCTGAATCCCCGGTCCCCGGCACTGTGTAACTCGAGCCGCTGAACGACAGCCTCCACTTCTCGACACGGCTGGCAGCCACAGCGCTTGTGGCCGGACAACCGTGTCTTGCGATCACTTTAGTCCAGCCGCCAAAGGCGGGACCCGGACCCCGGCGCGGCTAGAACACACGTCGCCCAGGAAAGGAGCGAGGGTGCTCGGGACGGACGGCTGCCGCTCCGGGACGGATAGTTGCCGAGGAACGGAACACAGCCTCCTTCTCGCGGCAAGGCTGGCACCCACACCGCTTGTGGCCGGTTACCTGTGTCTTGCGATCACTTTCGTCGAGCCGCCCAAGGCGGGACCCGGACCCCGGCGCGGCTAGAACACACGTCGCGCAGGACCGGAGCCTAGGGGTTCGGGAAGCCGGACCCACGCAGCCCGTAGAGGGACACACGTTTCCTGCGATCGAAATAGCGGAGCCGACAGAGGTTCGACCGGGTCCTAGTGCGGCTAGCGCACACTTCGCCCGGACCGGAGCGTGGCTGTTCGGGAAGGACGGCCGCCGCTCCGGACAGGACAGAAGCTTTCGTCTCGGGGACAACCAGCCCCCGAGCCAGAGGATGACAGCCTCCTGTTTCACGACACGGCTGCTACGCATGCAGCTCGTGGCCGGACCACTGTGTCGTGGGATCTTCTTCCCCGATTCGCCAAGACAGAACCCGGACCCCAGTGCGGCTAGCACACACGTCGCCCAGGATAGGAGCGTGGTTGTTCGGGACGGACGGCTGCCGCTCCGGAGAGGACAGAACGCCATGTCCCCGCGACTGCCAGCCCACGAGCCGGCGGAGGACAGCCACACGCTTCGCGGCAAGGCTGGCAGCCACACCGCTTGTGGCGGTCACCCGTATCTTGCGATCATTTTAGTCGAGCCGCCAAGGCGGGACCCGGACCCCGGTGCGGCTAGCACACACACGTCGCCCAGGACCGAAGCCCAGGGTCCACATCCGGACGCCTGCCGCTCTGGAATGTCTGAATCCCCGGTCCCAGGGACGGCGTAACTCCTAGCCGGTGAACGAAAGCCTGACGCTTCGCGGCAAGTCTGGCTTACATGCCGCTCGTGGCAGGACAACCGTGTCTTGGGATCGTTGTCCCCAGTCCGCCCGAGACGGGACCCGGACCCCGGTGCGGCTAGCACACACGTCGCGCAGGACCGGAGCCTAGGGGCTCGGGAAGCCGGACCCACGCAGCCCGTAGAGGGACACACGTTTCCTGCGATCGAAATAGCGGAGCCGACAGAGGTTCGACCGGGTCCTAGTGCGGCTAGCACACACATCGCCCGGGACCGGAGCGTCGCTGTTCGGGATGGACGGCCGCCGCTCCGGACAGGACAGAAGCTTTCGTCTCGGGGACAACCAGCCCCCGAGCCAGAGGATGACAGCCTCCTGTTTCACGACACGGCTGCTACGCATGCAGCTCGTGGCCGGACCACTGTGTCGTGGGATCTCCTTCCCCGAGCCGCTCAAGACAGAACCCGGAACCTAGTGCGGCTAGCACACAAGTCGCCCAGGACCGGAGCCCAGGGTCCATATCCGGACGCCTGTCGCTCTGGACTGTCTGAATCCCCGGTCCCCGGCACTGTGTAACTCCGAGCCGCTGAACGACAGCCTCCACTTCTCGCCACACGGCTGGCAGCCACAGCGCTTGTGGCCGGACAACCGTGTCTTGCGATCACTTTAGTCCAGCCGCCAAAGGCGGGACCCGGACCCCGGCGCGGCTAGAACACACGTCGCCCAGGAAAGGAGCGAGGGTCCACATCCGGACGCCTGCCGCTCTGGAATGTCTGAATCCCCGGTCCCAGGGACGGCGTAACTTAGCCGGTGAACGAAGCCTGACGCTTCGCGGCAAGTCTGGCTTACATGCCGCTCGTGGCCGGACAACCGTGTCTTGGGATCGTTGTCCCAGTCCGCCCGAGACGGGACCCGGACCCCGGCGGGCTAGCACACACGTCGCGCAGGACCGGAGCCTAGGGGCTCGGGAAGCCGGACCCACGCAGCCCGTAGAGGGACACACGTTTCCTGCGATCGAAATAGCGGAGCCGACAGAGGTTCGACCGGGTCCTAGTGCGCTAGCACACACACATCGCCCTGGGACGGAGCGTCGCTGTTCGGGATGGACGGCCGCCGCTCCGGACAGGACAGAAGCTTTCGTCTCGGGACAACCAGCCCCTGAGCCAGAGGATGACAGCCTCCTGTTTCACGACACGGCTGCTACGCATGCAGCTCGTGGCCGGACCACTGTGTCGTGGGATCTCCTTCCCCGAGCCGCTCAAGACACGAACCCGGACCCTAGTGCGGCTAGCACACAAGTCGCCCAGGA